TATCGCTCTCGAATTTCATTTGGCATACACTCACTTACTCAATTTCCATCACAACCAGGATGTCCATCTCTTCCTTTTACACAGCCATGCTATAGGTGCTCCGTATTGAACTAGACTTCAGCACAGAGCACCTGCATAAGTCAGGAGGGAGTGGGTGAAAGGTGGAGGACCCACTTGACAGGTCAGGTTACTCGTCTATTCCAGGTAAGGACAACCGCATGCTTCAGACATAACTACAGGACATTCCCACCTATTTATATATAGAGATAAAATTATATATCCCATTTTTTTATCTATAGATGCACCTTTAGTTTGCTTTTTGACATCACCTGTTCTACATCTGCACAGAGACCGTGTCCATGTGTTTGTTCTAATGCTGATTTGCGTTATTTACAGTTAAGAAAAATATTTTAGAGCTCTTTTTTTACCAACATGGATGATGATACTGCATCTGTTGAGCATCTGTGTACAAAACCAGTCCCATAAAAAACAGTTCTCCCATTTTGGTGTCGAAGACCTTGACCAGTTCCCACCGAGTCCTGACCTCATCCCTGTCCAACTACTCTGGATAAACCAGTTTGCTTACTGTGAGCTGGGCCTTATCACACAACACAGGTGCTGAATCTCACTGCAGCCAGAAGCTGGTTGGATTTCTAAAACGAGATGAATTTAGATTTTTACAGCAGCATATTAATGTTCCTGGGTTGTCTTTTTTTTTTTAAAACCCACATACTATTGAATATGTAAGTCGACCGACATATCGAGTAGGTGACCATCGCCTCAGTGCTTTATGCTGATTATACTGGCAGCAGGCAAAGAGGAGGAGGAGAGCAATGGAAACAAAGAAGAGGAGAGGAGACTGAAGAGAGAAATCTGAGAGGAAACGAGCAGCGGAGACATGAAGACAAAAGAAAGAAGATGAAAGGAAACGAGTGAGAAAGAGGTAAGAGGAGAAGATCAATAGCAATGAATAAGAAGATGGTGCTGTGGTTGGATGAAGCCCAACACAACCGAAACAACACCATCCCCACAGTAAAGCATGGAGGTGGAAACATGTGTTGGAGCTGTTTTTCTTCACATTCACAACTTCGCCACATAGATGGACCAATGCATGGAGTCATGTACGGTAAAATCTTGGCTGAGAACCTCCTTTTTCAACCAGAATGACTTTTCCAGCATGACAATTATGCAAAACATACTGTCAAAGAGACGACGGAGTGAAAAGAAGGACGTTGAGGTCACCTCGGTGCCATAAAAAGAGTCATGTTACCAAACAGGGGAGAACTTAAAGGAGTTTCTGTAAAGAGGACTGGGCCAAAATCCCACCTGAGATCTACGCAAACCTGATGACCGTCTCAATGCTGTGCTTGACAACAACAGTTTCTCCACCGAGTACTCAGACATCTGAATCTGAAGACAAAACAGAGCTGCCTGATTCTGTAAGCCTGCTGCACTTACTGTTGGAGTCTCACTAATGATGAAGTATGTAACAATAAAAGAACAGACTTTATCCTTCTCTCATTTGCTGTAACAGATTCAGGACTAACGTATCGCTTGGTCACAACCAAATAATTTAAATGCAGTTTGAGTGCTGGTGTGTGTGTGTGTGTGTGTGTGTGTGTGTGTGTGTGTGTGTGTGTGTGTGTGTGTGTCTATATGCAGAACTTTCCATGAAAATTAAGTTGTTGTTGATTGGACTGCTCGAAGAGTCGCTTGTGAAGATGCCCACAGAATTCATACATACATGCTCATTAAATGGTCCAATCAGTTCCAATTCTCTGGAGGATGGTGAACACAAAGAAGAGGGGGCTCTGACTTGATTAGCAAGAGATATCAAAGAGAAGGAAAACTGGAAGACCAGAGAGGGAAACTGGGAAAAGGGGGAGATGACAGGAGAAGAGTATTGAAACAGAAGAAGGAAGAAAGGAAAACAGAGGGAGTGAAGATGATGAACACAGATGAGACGGGGGTGAGGAGAAGAGGGAAGAAGAGAGCTGAGAGGAGAAGAAGAATAAAAGAGGTGGTGTAGGAGGGGAAAGAAGGAGGAGGAGAGGAGGGAGAAAGAAGAGCAGAGGAATATAAAAGGGAAACGAGGAGACAAGAGCGAAAGAAAGAGATAGAGAGAGAGAAGATCAATCACAGTAATCAGCGTTCAGAGACTGTGCTGCGTCCAGATAAAGCCAGCGGGGACCTCTACTGGAAAACACCATCAATAACCTCAAAACTTCAGTGCCAGACGCTGCAGAGATCCAGAGCGATAGAGTGATGCATGTGGCAGACTGAAAAGAGCATTTAGTACTTTAGAAGTTAAAAGGAACTGAGGTTATTATTATTATTATTATTATTATTATTATTATTATTATTAGGGATTTTGGAGGCATTTAATGTAGAGATGGGAATATCTTGACAGGATCAGGGACACTGAGGTTTATGCTCTGCTCCTTAAATCCAAGGACACTGCACACCCAGTGTAAATGCACAGTTTTACTATTCATGCCAGAAAAGGCTTAATAAAAACATCTATACATGGTAAACTGCACTGATAGCTAAAAATCATGAGATGTACAGTTCTGCTCATCATGGGCATGAGTGTCATGGCTCCACACACACGCTCACTTAAACTTATTGTAAGTGGTGCTGAAGGCTACAAGGAACAGACTTTTCTCTTCCTTTCTAGTGGACAGAGGTAAAGTCCAAGGAACTCGGTGAAGATCTACTGAGGAGGAGATTTTCACCTGTTCTTTAAAATTTAAAAGGCTGTAGTGCATGTTTTGAAAGTGCTTCACCACAAAGATTTATACATGAGCACTATGAGATTTCATTTAGAAGATATGGAATCAAAAATGATCAGTGCTGCTGCTGATGAAAAAACCTGAATATCAGCAAATGTGCAAATATGAATGTCAACAAGTGACAAATTAAATGTAGCAACAGTAAAATAAGCTAAACTAAAAATGATGACATAAAATATCAATAGGACCATATGTGACACTCATAAAACTAAATATTTGACCTACTTTCATGAATATTATAGGACGAGATCAATTTTTGATCTGTTTTTCTTTAGTCTGAACTAAAAATATGCATTTTCTCAGAGTGAACCACATCCAGACTAGAGGAAACATCAGTACCAGTGACTGATGGGCCCTGATTGGCTGTCACTGACAAACAAACTGCTGCAATCCTTCCAGTCAGTCCAGGCTGGAGCGTTCGAACCAGAAAGGACCTCGTTTAAATAAAGCTGGCAGACAAACTGCTTTCATGTCCAAACGCAGGATGGGTCCATTATGGGGAACATCAGCAGCATCTGAGAGGCTTGTAATTTGAATGCAGCGCTACAAATAATGAGATAATGTTAATACAGCGCTGTAAATAATGAAGCCGGTGAGGAAACGAGAGGCAATCCTGCCTTTTTACAAACTCTCACACGAAATGAAAACACAAGCAGAGAAACAACATTGATTTCTTTAAAATCCTTTCATGTTCAAGTGAAATTGTTCCGCCCCACAACATGTCAGCGACGACACAAAAACCGATGTCTATCAGAATTTGGTGGTACGCGATCATCCGCGGCCCATCGCTTCAGAAAGCTTTGATCAGCTGCTGATTTGGTGCCGAGGAGCGGCGACGGCAGAAACCTGAGTGACGACACTCCACGGAGAGCGCGACAACGCGGCGGCAAAAATGCTCCGCCTCTTCCATCTGCATTGAAACCTCTCATTAAAGGAACACTTCACCTTTCTGCCAGGCAATAATGGCACATGTGCCAATCTCTCACAACGCAAGCGAGGTGTATCTGTGACATCTGTGAGGACGTGATGAGCGAACACGGCATCTAATCTGCCTCCAGAGACTAACGACAGTCTGAGCTAACTGCCTAACGCACACGGAGGGCAGAGAAATCCCTGCTAGGGATCATACGTGAATGGCTGTAATAATTCCCACGGAGGCACAATTAGCACCCTGTGTGTGGACAACAGTGTGAATACACACCGGAGGGAACAGATGCTCTTGGCATCCCAACAGCTGCTTGCGGGCTCCATTTCTTTCTGATTCAGACAATATAACACTGATCCACAGCAGAGAACCCACAGGAGTGGGCTGCTGTGACACCAATGACTCACTTATTCATATCAAGACCAGTTCCATACAATATGTGATAGGAAGTGTAGATTAGAGGGTACTGTAACCTCAGCAACAGAGAGACAACACCAGCTCTCAAACAACAAAACTGAAAAGTGTGGATAACTAGAAATGCACTTTGAATGAGTCTCATTTACACCTTGAAACGAAGATACAGTTAACGACTGCTTTGGGAGACAAAGAGACGTAATAGTGTTTATTATTTGGAGGCTTCTTCCTTCCTAGTTTAAACATGGCTGACTCAAGGGAAGAAACACGTCAATGATCACAGAGATCACAGAAAAAAACACTAAAATAAAGTAAAAAAGGAATCTGACTCTATCCAGCTTTAGGGTCCCAGGATGCTGAAGCCCAGCTCAGCTGACACAGTCCACCTTTTTGCTGTCAGGCGCCAGTCGCTGATCCACTGTGCTGCTCCTACAAGCAGACACTCTGATTCCCAGCACCATATTTGCCTTTTATAAAGGTTAATCTGCATCATCATCATCATCATTTACATTTACGTGTCAGTACAGTGCATTCACACAACCCTTTATTCTGTGTGCTTTAAGCACATCCAGTGCCAATTTAAAATCACCAATTAACCCAGAATCCCTTTGGATTGTGGGAGGAAGCCGGAGCACCTGGAGGAAACCCACAAAGGTAAGGTAAACTCCAGAGGAAGGCCCCAGCAGAGGTTTGGACCAGCAGAGCAAGAAGCGAGCCGGGTTCCCACTGCACCACCGAGCTGCCCAGTGGCATCCCTAATGCATGCTGTGCTTACATAAAATCCCTGTTCTGTTACATTCAAAACACAAGTCGGGTTTAATACACAACAGTTTTCAAACTAGGAACAAAATGAAGTTGTAGTGACTCACTATGTTCATCAGTGTGAGGAGGTAATTCTGCACATGCTCCTTGCCGTGAAATCGGACCACTGAGTCATCGACTCCCAGCAGGATTTCGATGTTGTAGTCGTCCTCTCCAGCGTCCCTCCGTCTGCGGCGCCGGACCGTCTCATTCACCTGTCGGGTTACTGAGTCGAGGCTCCCGGGAACATCGAGCTCCGGTTCTGTAAGATTAAGACGGGAGAGATACGACTTTTAATATTTTTTCCATTTCCAGCTGTGAAAGCCGCTGCAGGGCGTTCATTTTAAAATGCTAACTGGGTAAAGGCGCTCACTGATCTGCTATTACATAACAATTACATTGTGTTAGACGAGCATTCGATCAACATTAACGAGCGAGTCGTGCAGCTGCAGGTCTGCAGGTTCTGTCTGCATATGAATGTGTCAGCAGAGGCCAAAGCTTGTTCTGAAGTCGAGTGCCTGCTGGCCTGAATTATACATGTTTCATATTTGATGGTTGGAAAAGGGTTTATCCAGTCGGAGCTTTATGTTGTTTTTTCTGATTAATGATTAGCTAATGAGCAGTATGAGGCGATGGCGCAGCGACGTACGGAGAAAGCCAAGCAGATGTTTTCAAAAGGAGACATTTTCCAGCCGGGTGCGCAGCCACAGCTGGATTTCATAACACTTCAATTCAAGTGCTGAAAAGGCAAATAACATGTTTATAATTTCCTGTTTTAATCATTTACTGGAGCAAAAGTACATTTTCTGGTTCCAACTTTAAATGAGTGGATTTGTGTGACCTTCTGTTTCAGATCATTTTCATTCCAGCATCTCTGGACTTTTGGTCAAACAAATCAAGCACTATGGGGATAACACAGCAGTGCTCCTTATTTACCTGAAAAATGTTGATTTAGCAAAACAAAAAGAAAAAACAAGGCGAGAAATAGAAAACTACTTTTGTTTTAGTCAAAATGCCAGAAACCCCCTCGTGTATTAGACGACCTTTGTGTTATTCACCCTGTTTGTTCAGTGCTGACTGTGTTATGGAGCTTTGACAGGTAAACTGATGCTAAAAGCAACTGTTAAAGCTTCAAATCTGTGGAAGGATAAAAAGGTCTGTGACAGCAGCTCAGTTCATTCAGTCCACAATTCACTTCAATCCAACAAAGGCTGATGGGGTTCACTGCCTTTAATTAGTACACGGGATAAAAGAACTTGTAGCTTTTGAGGCATTTTTACAACCCACAGACTTTCCTCTGTTGTTACATAACTTTCAAATCAGATTTGACTTCAAACCGAGTTTCTGCTTCCCTCGATATGAAAATTAGGTGAACTGTCTGACTTGACAGATTTCAGGCTCCTCTCCTCAAACTAGCTGAATGTGCTAATACTTCCCACTTTGATGGAATGGACCACCAGTACTTAAAGCTCCCATAATACTGCTTATACTACTCACACTCTGGAGGCTAAGGGTATCTCTGTGAAACCGCAGGCAGCAGTGCAGATATCGGGGCCTCGAGGACTACAGAGGGGGTATCGAGCGGCTGCTCTTCACTCCACAGTTTGCTGCTTTATAGTTAAAAGTGTTGCAAATTTAATTATCATCTTATAATAAAAGGAAAAAGTCTTTCTTGTTTTCGAGCAGACTGACTGGTTATAATGGCCGGAGGGGCAGAGCTGCAGGTTGAATGACTCATCAGGATGTCTCCGAGCGAGACTGTTTTCCTCTAGTGGAGCTGGTGGTTACCAGTAAGGCGGTGATTATGCTTCCAGTGTTTTATTTGGTTTAACCACAGTGGACTACATCCTGTTAGCTCTGTACTGACGTGTGCAGTTCGTTTCAGATATAATCAAAAATAAGAATGAACGGGGTGCGCCTCTTCGTCAAGGCAGAGAAAACTGTGTTTTAACGGTCATCGTCACCTCTCGCTGAATTGTACTTTGTTATAACATGTTATATGATAATTATAATACATGTTACCATTGCAGCTTTTGATAACTCACCAACAGTGACTCTCTCAGTAAGAGGAATTTGTTTTTAGATTTTCTTTGTAATAGTGTAAAAAAATGAAAACTCCCATTTACAAAAAGTATTTAGAGTCATTGCTGATTTCTTTGTAGAAGACTCTGGCTACTCTAAAGTGCATTTATACAGTGGTGTCAACACAACAATCGGCGGCAACTTGAAAACCTGGCAAATATTGTGTAGATGTACAACCAAAACAGCTCTGACGCACCGAGGCATGGACACGGCTCGTCTAGGGGCTGCTCTCTGGCTTCTGGCAAAGCACAGTTGGGTCCACTAATACAAGGTGTCTCCTCCGTGAGGAGAATCGGATGGAGGTGGGGGGGCTCCTCAAAACTTTCTAGGGCATTTGTTGCAACTTGGAGGGCAGGCTGACCTGCTGGAGGAGGCTGCTGACATGTGAGAGTTTCAAACCGGGGGGGTGTCTGCTCTGAAACAATGTTCAAGTGGCCGTGTGTGTTAAATTACATCCACGTTAAAGCCAGGAGGAAAGGTTTCTCAGCACTGAGTGAGATTATTGATGGTTATTCACTTCACATGTGAGGTTTTGAGGTTGAGCCTGACAGGTGTATGTAATCCAACAGTTATAAAGGCTTCAAAGCCATTTAAAGATTATCAAAGAAAAATGTCAAAAGGAGGGAAAAAATGTTTAATCTTTTTCACATTCTGCAACCCATTCCAACTAAATTTTGCTCAGACCTTTCAGGGTGTTGCACACTCACAAGGTGATTGCACAGGTTGCCTAGTTTCCTATCAGGAGGCAACCTTTCTGCAAACAGCTGCAGTCTGACTACAACCACTCTCAGACAGAAAGTCAGTCATTTCTATCTCCACTCAGCTGGCTCCCAGCTGCTTGTATTCTGGTTATATTCACATAGAACAGGAAGGTTGTGAGCGCAGATGTAATATGTGTAAAATTTCTGTCTATGCAGACGGCAACAAATACACAATTTTCAACTACTTATTACGGTTAATTGCTGTATTATCATAAACAGCATGCATGTAATGACAAAGCTGAACTTTGAGGACCATATTTGCGGTATATGTTAATGCAATATGCAGTATACTGAAAAATGTACTATGGTATCATCAGTGAAAGATTGTGGTAATATCATATTGTGGGGTGTTTGGTGATCCCGCCTCTATCAGTTAACCCAGCATGCATGTCTTTGGGTGGAAGCTGAAGACCTGGAGAGAACCCACAGACACGGGGAGAACATGCAAGCTCCACACAGAAAGGCTTTAGCCGGCCGTGTGTTCGAACCTCCTCGCCGTGCAGCATGTATTTGGTTCATTTCACAGCTCAGTGCAACAGGAGAACACTATTTCAAACCAAACTGAGTGAGAGCGTGAGGCACGCCTTGGCTTCTTCTGCAATTTGTACAAGGCCAATGAATCCTCAGAGCGAAAAAATAAACTGAAAGCAAGAAAGGTCATTGTCCATTCAGCAATAAATACAAATGTCTGTCAGCAAGACAGCACAGGCCTGGAGCTAAAAATTGGGTTCACGTTGGTTCATGCAGCCCATTTACAAACAAACCAGAGTAGGCAAACAAAGGTGCCACAGACTCACAAGAAGCTCGTATACTGAAGACGTTTCGGTAAGCTCTCATCAGGCCGTGTTACAAAGTTTGGCAGCGAGGTGAGTCAAAACAAATCGTGCTGTAGAAACCTGTGACTTCGGCTAAAACTGAGGGCACTGGAAATAACCTCGTCACACATATACAGCAATCCTGTGCAGCACGGATGAATGGCAGAGCAGCGTTACAGAAGATGAAGACATTTTCAGCCAGAGCGGACCCCTCACCTGGCCAAAGACATGGAATATAAAGAGCAACTCCTGCAAACCACCAAGAACATATTAAGAGTGAAAAGCTGAACTGCGTCTGAAGGACAGCAGGGCCGAGCACGCCTGCTCTCTGAATTTTCCCTGAATAAACGAATGACTGAAGTAAAGTAGTTCACAGTTTTAGATTTCATCCACACTGGGTGAAGATACTCTGCTGGCAAATACGGGTAAATCTGAAGCCATAAATAAAAGCACAGGCCATTTTTCATTTTTCCAGGGATGCTGTGGACCACAGACAGGGCCGGTGATTGAGTGGAGAGGGAGCTAAAATAAATAGGAAGAAATGGCTGCCACCTCAGCCGTGGCCCGGCTTCTACAGTGTTGGGATTGTGGAGCGCATTCCTCCTCTCCGCCGCTCCCGTCATGACACAGGCATTCTTGTGCAGCAGGCCAGCTCCCCCCCCTCCCCTGCCTGAGTAAACAGGCTCTCTGAGGTCCCTACTTCAAACGCACAGGACTTCCCCTCAGCAGCGCTCCTTAAGACTGCCAGTGTGCTTGAGTCAGTGGCGAGCACCCCACCGCCCTCCTCTGCCTCGCCCCACCACGGGCCACAGCCCAGTCCCGTGGGAGCCCCACCATGCAACAGCAGCAGCCCAGGAGACGGGGGCCCTGGGTCAGCGTCTGCCCACACATGGCAATGTGCGGCAAGGTGGCAATGAGGCCGGCCAGAGCCGCCGCAGGCTAAAAATGGCACAGACGTAGGCGACAGGCATCGCGCCATCAGCTGAAAGTGGAAATCTACTGTCTGCTGTGACAGAATTAATATCCACGTTGTACGCTTCAAGGACACTCACACGAAACCCATTAGTAAGATGGACACTGATACGCAGCCAATAATGACACTTTGTGTAAAATCCTTTTTTTATACATTCAAATACGCACGCAAAAAGCTTTTCCCTTTTCAGTGCAGATGGATACATGTCTCCACGGAAACGTTACTACAGGAAAAGTATGCAATGCCCTCATTTAGAGGAAAATATCCACGAGCTCCGAGGTTTTACAGCAACATGAAAGAAGCTGGCAGAATTATTGGAACAAGTCTGCCAGAGATCAGTAATATCTTCCCCACTCGCTGTCTGAGGAGGGTGCACAGTATCCTGCGGGACCAACATCACCCTGCGCGCCACCTTTTCCATCTGCTGCCCTCAGGAGAAGGTACAGGTCTATACAGGCCAGAACATCCAGACTGGCCAACAGCCTGTATCCACAGGCTGTGAGGCTCCTGAACTCTCTGCCCCCCTCTCACGGACAATAACCATATCCAACTTCTTAATAGCAATGAACTGGTCTGCATTGGTGCATCATATCTTTATTCTCTTCCCCCTCCTGCCCCCCCCCCCCCCCTC